ACCCTCCGTGGCGCCTGCATGGGCCTTATTTTCACTTACTGCGTTTTGTTCATACTTTCCAGACAGGAGAGGCCCGCTGGGAGAGCACGTTCCCCGGCCGCCTCTGCCCGCACGCTTTCCTGGGGGCTGCTTTTGCTACCTTGGAATAATGTGCCGTGGACTCGACTCTCTCCTTCGGGGGGGAACACCATTCTCACCCCAAAGCTGATGGAGGCGGGAGCCCGACACCCTCCTCCCTCCTCCCTCCACCTGTCCTGATACCCGCTAGCTGCCTTGCCTGCATCACTGCAGACCTTCCCCTGCATGTGAGGGCCTGATGTTCTTTCAACCCAGGATATAGACCTAATATATGAATTGCTTCTGTTAGTCCTGGCTCCCCAAAGCCCAGTCCGTGCAGGAGGACACCCAACAAACAGGGACGGCCCGGCCAGATGTCAGCCCCGTCCATATCCTGGCTCTGCTACTAGACAGCTCTTGGATTTGGGGAGTTTGTCACCAGCGTATTCCTTCATGATCTCTTTCCATATGTCTATTTTGGACGACTGTGTGTCTGTCCTGAGGGTACATGCTGAGAATACAGGTGTGGTGAGGTCAGACCAATCCCTCCATCGCGCGCTTTCCCACTGGGGAGAAGCAGGCAGACTGCAGCCTGACGTTAGACGGCAGCCAGCCCATCCGCACAGCACGGAAAGGGGAGAGGCTGTTCACATCACAAGCGCTCCTCAGGTTCTTGTTTTCTTTTTTAAACTTGTCGGCAGAGTGACTGGGAGCCCCTGAAGCAGCTAAGTGGGGAAGTGACTTCATCAAATGCCCATTTTATTTTTGTAATCCTCACCCAAGGGCATTTTTGCATTTATCTTCAGATAAAGCCAGAGGGAGAGAAGAAGGAAGAGAGAGAGAGAAACATCGACGAGAGAGAGACACATCAAGTGGTTGCCACCCACACAACCCCAACCAGGGCTGGGGACAAACTGCAACCGAGGTACGTGCCCTTAGTGGGAACTCTCTGGTCCAAGGGCCGACACTCTAACTGCTGAGCCAAACCAGCCAGGGCCAAATGCCCATTTTAGACCAACTGCTTGGGCTGCTGGATGGGCAGGGGAATGTGGGACAAGAGCAGACAGACCAGTGAGGGGCGACATGGACTGGAACGCAGGCAGTGGAGACGGCCCAAAGCAGCACATTCTGTGGGGTCAGGGCAGTCCCCGGATTTTCCCTCGGGACACAGTGCCTGGCAGAGAGGTCTGAGGACCTCAGCGGTGCTGCCGACACCCCACCCATGCTGGGGCAGATTGAGGTCATGTAAGAAAGATGGGGAGTTACCATAGAACAAGAAGGTAAATATGGAAACACTGAGAAATGGGGTGCTGGGCAGAGACAGTTGGGGGGATGAGAGCAAGTCAAAGCTGGGGCCAGGGTGGGCGGCAGGCAGGAGAACCAGCGGGATGGTGCAGTAGTGGCAGGGCTCAGGTCCCGGCCTGCACGAGTGAGCCACGTCCTCACCCACCGTCACCCCGCCTTTTCCTCGGCAGGAGTAGGGAGACCATTAGGTGCCTGTCTCTGGAAGTCACAAGGACTGGCCCACCTTAGGGCAGAGTGCGAACACGCAGACGGTGGGTTCATGGTTTTCTCCCCACATTTACTCTTCCCAGGGAAGCTGAGTGTGTGGGATGTGCCCTGTGGGCCCCCTTTCTGAAAGCATGAATCCTCAGTTCATACCCTTCTCACGGGCTTCGATAGGCACCTTAAAAGACCAGAGTTTTTCTCCCATGGCTGGTCTGTCTCCACAGGCGGCCATCCTTACTGTTTTCCCTGGAGGTGTCTTGCTCTGGCTCACTGTGCCTGGTGTTCTCATCGGGACCATTCAGTGGAGGACCCAGTATGTGGACTGAGCGCTCATGTCCATGTCGTCTTTCTGATCCCCCTACCCGAGCTGGTAGCACCCCGAGTGTGGACTCCCCTGAATGCCTGGCTCACTCTTTCACGATGCAGTGCCCACTCCCTCTGCCATCCTGAGCCCGTGTCCCTTGGGAAGCCCGTGGGACACTCAGCAGTCTTCTAAAGATGCAGATGACCTGCACCTATGGCAGGCTTTAAACATGACTGACGAGTCCATCCTGCAGTGAGAGACAGGGATTCATTTCCTTTGCCAGGGGACTTGGCAATTTTCTCTGCTTAGAGAACGTTTACAATAGATGATGTACATGGCAACTGAGAAGAAATGGGTGCTATTAATTTTTCATTTTCAAGTGTGAGATTGGCTAGAGAGTCCACCTCCACTCCCTCAGAAAAGCAGACCTCATCCTCTCCTGTTCAGAGCTGTGAGGTATCGGAAAAGCCAGAACAGTGGCCGCTGTACCTCCTAAAGTGCTGGGTCAGGCCAGTGAGCTTGTTAGGGGTGCAGCTGAGGCCACCCGGTAGCTGGGCACAGCCCTGAGCCACCGCCCTCAGGAAAACTCCTCCCTCCTGTTTGTGTGCGTGGCCGAGCAGGACGCTGGTCCTGGCTCCGGAAGCCTGCCTTCTTCCCCAGCCCGTCTGCAGCACCACCTGGGGTGTCAGGACACCCCACAAGGCTAGCTGACTGTCTCCAGTGCTCCCAGGGCAGCATCCGGCTCCCATGGAACATTCCCCCCTTTGGCAGTCACTGGCGGCCTGTGACCACGGAGACTGGCAATGGGGCGGGGCAGCTGAGGCACTACATTTGTATTGCATTTCAGTGTAAATAGCCATACGTGGCTGATGGCAGCCATACTGGCTTGCACAGGTATCATTTTCACCTCAACCCTACCTGGCTAAGCCAGCTTTGTTTAGGTGCATTTGTCGTAGCGGTTTTCTGGTGCTGTGATGTTGGCTCTAAGCTTACCTACAAACCCTTCATTTTAAAACAAAAATAATACTTGTAGTATTAAAAATCATAGCTGGCACATGCGAGTAATCACTACATCCAAGGTGCTTTGCTAGGCAGTTTACACACTTTGTCCTGAGTTACAGCTGAGGAACTGAGTCACGAGCGGTCCGGTTACCACCTGAGCTGCCCAGGCAGCCCGGCAGCGTGGGCCAGGGCAGCTGCAGGCGGCCTGGAGGTCAGCTCGGTGCCATTCTGGAGACACTGTCTTGTCCTGGTTGTTGAAAGCAAGGCCGTGTCTATTGGTTTTCTTTTTTAAAAATAATTTCTTTTTAATTGAATGTATTGAGGTGACATTCACAAAACCCTACAGGTTTCAAGTGTGTACGCAGCTCAATAAAACACGTCTGCACACCGCATCATGTGCCCATCACCCCAAGCAGTCTCTTTCCATCCCTGTCCCCCGCCTTGCCCACCTCCACCCCGCTTCCCTCTGCTAACACCACACTGTTGTCTGTGTCTATGTGTTACGTATATATGGTGGCTTTTTTTTTTTTTTAACTAATCCCCTCCAGTCCCCCAAACCCCCTCCCTCTGACAGCTGCCGCATGTTGAGTTCGCTAACAACCTGGTCTACACAGTGGCCACACGGTCCCACCCCACCTTGTAGAACTTGCAGCTGGACCCTGGTTGGAGGCCGAGGTTCTACAGACAGGGCAGAGCTTGCAGAGCCCAAGCCTGGGTCTGCTCACCTGCCCTCAAGTGGACGTGGGAGAGGCCTTTCCGGCCTGAGGTCTTCGAAGCTGGGCTCTGTTCTCCAGCGAGCCCCAGGCTAGGGAAAGATGGGCTTGCCCGGAAGCAGACTTGGATTGTAGGAATGAGGAGATCTGGATGATATTAATTTCTTCTGGAGAGGATTCATTGCCCTTTGTGAGGCAAGTAGGAGCTAATAACCTCAATTTGGTGAGAGCCGTGCTCACTGCAGGCCGGATCGCAGCTCACTGCTCACTGCCTCCCAAAGGAGGGCCTGGGGTGTGTCCTGGGCTCTCTGCATGGCTAGATTCTGCTTTAATCTGTGTCCCGTCAGCACCAGGAGACATTCAGAACTGGCTCTGGGTTGTAACACTACTTTTGCTTGGCTTCTCCACAACCTGTCTCCAGTAGCTTTGGAATTTGGGGAAAATTCCAAAGTTCTAGGGTTCACTACTTTGTCCCGTCTTACTTACTGGGATTTTGGCCCCTCGGATCTCTAATTTCTGTCCCTCCAGATGCTAAAGGTCACTAAGTCAGTTGTTGGTTTTTCCACATCTTGGTAGCAGCTCACTGCCTGGACCCTGGTGTTAAGATTCTCAGTACCCAGAATTAGGGTAAAATCAGGGAGCTAAGAGTGTCAGGTCCCTTCTCTGCACCATGGTCCCTTCTTTGGAGTCTCTTCCGCAAACTTTAACTCAGCACTCCATGGGACCTTCAGATGGCCTGCACCCTCCCTACCCATCTATCCAGATTTTCTTCTTGTTCTCAGGAGTATTCCCTTGACTCCAATCACTCTGTCCTACTTAAAAGATGAGCTGGACAGTTGCAGATGGACTGTTACAGAAAGGACTTTTCCATGGAGGAGGTTCCCAGATGTTGATGGGAGAATGTGAAGTCGTCTGTCAAAGTCTAGCAAAGTAACCCACGCTGACAAACCTGAACCATGGGCTAAAATACGAGTGTGTTATTCCCGGGACCTTTTAGTGTCCCAGGCAGACGCCCTAAAAGCATCAGCTATTCCTGAGTGTTAACCTCTTGGCATGAATTCAGTGGAAAATGTAATCTTCTCTGTCCGGCTGCAAGAGCAGGTTTGATTGGGTTAGCAGGAGGTGTCTGATGGTCCTTGAGGCTGGTGCACTCAGTGAGCCCGACGCTTGCTTTACCAGCTCGGCAGCAGCCCAAAGTCAGTTCTGGACAAAGCGGCCTGCCCTGGGAATGCAGGCTCTGTCACACACTTCACCTCGGTGTGGGGCTATCAAAGTGGGGGTCAGGAGTTACACTGTGGCTGGAGAGGGAGGTTTGTTTGGACCTGGCTTTGTAGATGGCACCGCACGGTGAGGGCACAGAGATAAGGGGAGAAAGCCCCCCGTGGACTCAATGATCTTCCCTTTGCTTTCCCCAGCCTGCACGGACAGGGAGCTGAGGAGCCTGGCTTCCCGGCTGAAAGACTGGTTCGGAGCCCTGCATGAGGACGCCAACAGGGTCATCAAGCCCACCAGCTCTGACACAGCCCAAGGCAGTAAGACCACTTTACTCTGGCTCATGCTTCATTTCAAATACCAGTTATCAGACATTGTTGAATTAGCAGTAGCATTTTGGGGTAAACAGAGATGCTCTATGTTAAATATACACATTGACTTAAAATATGTCCCAATTTCAGAAATACTAAAATATAGAGGAGGGAAAATGCCTTAGAATCATGACAATACAACAACTTAGGCATATTTTGGACCTGTGGCTGGGAATCCATGTATGCAGAGGGCCAATTTAAGTTACACACAGCTTTTTGTTGTGCAGGTGGTCAGTGATCCTAACCCCCTCGATGTGTAAGGGTCAACTATTTTTTAAAGTGTGGTTGCAAAATTAGCATATGTTTAGTATACACATTTTGGGAAATATATTAAATATATATAAAAATACAAAAAAACTCTATAAAACCCACCATTTTAACAACTGTTGACCATGTTGTGCTATGTACTTTTCCAGTCATACAGAAAAAAATGTGAGTGTATAGCACACTTTGCAGACTGTTTTATGATCTCTTTTTTATCATTTAGCAATATACTGTGGCTATCTTTCTATGCTGTTGAGTAGAATTCTGCTTTGCAATAGCTACATAGAATCCATTTATAGATATAACATAACTGATATAGCAGACCTTTATTTTGGATCCCTGAAGTTGTTTCTAATGTTCAGCTCTTTTAAACAATATTGTAGCAAACATCTTTGACAATCTGTCTTTGTGAATATTAGTCAGACCTCATTCTGTTTCCATAGAAACTCCCAGCCAAGTGTCCCTCACCCCTATCACTGAATTGGCAGAGCCCACAGGCAGAGTTTCTTCATAAACTGAAAACTCAGAAAGTGTCCCCATATTTATACTTCAGTGGAATCTCTTGGTGCCTTTTTCTCAAAGGCAATTAGGGGTAGGCTTCCCCACATTTGGCCAGTCAGCACAGAACGGATTACGTAACAACACAGTTATTCAAGGACATGGAGTTTTGTAACTGTTGGGATCCTGAGTTTAACCAGCATCAGGTATTCAGCAAAAGATAAGAATGATTTTTGGTTATTCTTGGCTGTTCGGGGCCATAGATACTAGTGGGGAACATTGATACGGAGGACTTTTTTTCCTTACCTGAGGACATTTTTGCATTCACCTTCAGATACAGCAGGAGGGAGGAAGAGAGAAACATCAGTGTGAGAGAGACACATTGACTGGTCGCCACCCACAAGACCCCAACCAGGGCCAGGGACAAATTGCAACCGAGGTACATGCCCTTAGCAGAAACCGAACCCGGGACTCTCTGGTTCATGGGCTGACGCTCTAACCACTGAGCAAAACCGGCCAGGGCAGGGGACAATTCTTTCAATAGTTTGGATCATCTACCGTAAGGAGAAGATAGTGTTCGCTTCCTAGAATCTAAGTGTTCAAAGAGTGGTTGTGTCTTTGGGGAAGGGGAAGTAAGATGCTTTATTTTTATTCCAGCTGGGAGCTTCCTTGGGAGTTTAAGTGGACAGTTGACTCAGGATGGTCTAGAGAAGTTTTCCTTGGGATCCTCCAGGAGCAGCTGGGCCCTGGGGCTTTCTGAACCACTTTTCAACAAGAGCACATGGATGTGCAGAGAGCTGCCTCTTGCAGCCTCATCCCCAGGGCCCCTGCAGACAGCCGGGCCTGGGGAAGACCTGCCCTCGGCTGGAAGCAAACTGAGTCCCGAAGAGGCTTCCAGGTCTGATGTCCTGAAGCACCTGGAGTGAAGGGAACAGAAAGGCCGAGGTGTGGAGGCAGGGACTTCCCGTCAGTCCAGTTCCAAACGGGAAACCGTGGAACCCGAGACAGCCCACATGCTTGGGCCCGATTCGTTCCCCTCCACCCCTAGATGTCAGATGCAGGTGCTGCTTTTCTAGAACCTCCCAGCCAGGGATGAAGCCAGCTTGGCACTTCTTTCTGGTGCTCAGTCGGCAGTACACTCCTCTTTCTCATGTACTAAGATATTAATGTCCTAGGAAATGGATGTATAAAATATTCCAGACAGAAAGAGTGGAGCCATTTAGTGTCAGAGTAAATTATCTTCCTTTACTTGGAAGCCTGTGAGGACAGCATCATTGTGGAGATTGTTCAATCATGACCTTCAGCCAAGTGAGAGGCCACATTAGGTCTCAAAGTCTCTCTTCTTGAGAAAGGGGATGTTCTGAGAAATTTAAAAATGGAAAGAGTTGTGTGTTTTAAGGGGCACACACTGTAGTAGCTAGACAACCTCTCAATGGATACTTTCATTGAGCACTGACTAGGTGCCTGCCCGGCTCAGGCTCCTGACAGAGTGACCGCCTCTGGCCTCTAGGAGCGCAGAGTCCCCTGTGCCATGAGAGGGCACAGAGTTCTGCGACAACTCTGGGGGGGAGGCCAGTGCTTATTTTACTGACTTCTGAATAGTGAAGGCCCTTTGGTAAAAACAGGGCTTTAAAAAGGGTGGACAGCCTTGGCCGGTTTGGCTCAGGAGTTAGGAGCGTCAGCCCATGGACCGGAGAGTCCCGGGTTCAGTTTCCACTAAGGGCACATACCTTGGTTGCCGTTTGTCCCCGGCCCCGGTTGGGGTTTTGTGGGTGGCAACCACTTGATGTGTGTCTCTCTCTCTTCCTCCCTCTCTCCCTCTTGCTCTATCTGAAGATAAGTGCAAGTGTCCTTGGGTGAGGATAAAAAATAAACAAATAAGAAGGATGGACATATTTCACCTTCTCTTATATCGCACTAAGCAGGAGTTCCTGTAATGTACATAGAAGCCCAATAACTAGGATGTGGGTAGGACAATCACCCCACCAGGCCCTTTCATTGCCACCACTGTACCCCGTGCCTACCATGCACTGCCCATCCCCAGACATGGCACCCTTGCCCAGTGGGTGCCCTCGGGACAGTAGGCAGCCCCAGGAGAGGAGGGATTGAGAATGCAGACTCAGAGTTGGGCCACCTGGGTTTGAACCCAGCTCCACCACTGCATGACCTTGGGTAAGTACCTAAAACCTTGAACTTTTCTTTTCATCCATAAAGTGGAGAGAATAAGCATCATTTCATAAGACTCTGGGGCAAGGACTCCGTGAGATAATTTAGTATAAAATGCTTAGAAGAGTGCCTTGAGTAGGACATGTATCCTCATTTTCTGGGAAATTAAAACCAGTGCTGGAAATACAGCTTGTGGGATGACTTGAAATCTCACGGTGCCTTTGGCTCTGAGGGAAAGACGAGTTTCAGATTTGGACATGCCTTCTCTGGGGCTAGCCAGCAGTAAACTCACTATCCTGAGCGGTGAGCAAAGCGTTACTATTTGGGTGCATACAGTTCCCACCGTGGCAACAGATATTCTTTCAGAAGGAAATGACTGTCTGAGTCAGCTCGGATTCCACACCACGCAGCTCTTGAAGGGCAGCAGAAGGCAGCATGGGAACCGAGGCGGCAGCTGGCGCCTTCTCCATCAACGTTCAGGCTGCTCTGGGCTGTAAGCAGTGCTGTTGGACTGTGCCACACAGGCACCTTTCCTGCATCCTGTTCACAGCAGTCCCTGTGTTCTGGCTTTTCCTAAGGGGCACGGCATAGTGTGCAGTGTTCTCATTAACCTCTTACTCACCGTGTGCGCCTCCTGTCAGGCTGGCCCTGTTGTAGGCAAGCCTAGTAAATGAAAACCCATAATTACAGATAAGTGAGCATTGGGGATTTGTGCCCATTCAACATATTTTCCTTAAATGTCAACTGTTTTTGTACATTTTAAATTGTTTCATGTAACAACTACCACCCCCCCAACATATTCTAGGAGAGTACCTGAGACTGTACCCATGGAGGGGAACAGCCTCAGGAAGGAGGTGGCTGGGATGGGCCCCGGGCGTCCTCCTGGGGCAGGAACAACCAGTCGGTGGCAGCTGACAGGCGCCTTTCCCTTGGCAGGGTTTGACACCAGCATCCTGCCCATCTGCAAGGACTCCCTGGGCTGGATGTTCAACAAGTTGGACATGAACTATGACCTCCTGCTTGACCACTCAGAGATCAATGCCATCTACCTGGACAAGTATGAGCCCTGTATCAAGCCTCTCTTCAGCTCCTGTGACTCCTTCAAGGATGGCAAGCTCTCAAACAATGAGTGGTGCTACTGCTTCCAGAAGCCTGGAGGTAGGAGGGAGGTGGGGCTAGAGCCCAGGACAGCTCTGCGGGGCAGGACCACGCACTGGGGAGGCAGAAGAGATCAGCAGGAGGAAGGGTGCAGCCAGAGAATAAAGCCTTCAGCCTGTTTACTGGCAAACTCAAAGGCTCTTTTCTTTTATTTCCTTCTCATTTCTGGCCAGTATATTAGAAACCCCAAGAGCATCATCAAGGAGTCAGCTATTTCAGTCTTCCTTTTGGAAAAATCTCCTAACTATATTGTGCCTTAGTTTTTTCATCTGTAAAATGGGTATAGAAACCTTAGCTATAGAATTCCCAAGATCACTGTTAGAAACACTACAAATAAATGTAAAGTACCATAATTCCCACTGTCACATGAACTCTCCACGTTCCCCTTAGAGAAAGTAGCCTGCCAGCTTCTAGGGTAGTAGGATTCATACAGAGTGTCTTAGACAAGGATATTTTGGTTATAAATAAACTCTGGCTAACTGAAGAAAGGCAAGATCTGAGGAATACGTGGACAATTCCAGGGTATCTTGTGTAACACACATCAGGAGAGTGAGCCTTCTCTTATGCAGACAGTGACCTAGAAGATGCTCCTGCTGGATCCCTGAGACCCCCTCAGGAAGTCTGGCTTTATTTCTAGCTCAGCTTCTGGGGGCAAGGGGTATGTGTGCTCACGTGTGGTGGTCCACAGCTCATGGGACCAGCAGAGACTGGCTTCCAATCCCAAGCCCCAGAAATATCTGCTCCACCTTAGGTCAGGTCTCCAGGATAACCTACTTGTATATCGGTATGGCTCTCAGAACCAACCCCCAGGAAAGAAAGATGGGCACGAACATTAAGGCATTTAAATTGTGTATGTCAGCTTGTGTGCATGTTCAGTACACATACATCACAGAGGGGCACTTCGAGAAGTGCGTGCATGTGCATGTGCATGTTTGTGCAATTATAAGATACATTCCTAAAAGCAGGACCACTGGTCAAAAGGGCATGCACATTTTTAAGTTTGAGTCATATTTCCAATTTGCCCTCCAAAAAGGTCATAACAATTTTTACTCTCATGAGAAATCTATAAGAATACCTGTTTTTCACGGTCTTGCCAAACTTTGTGATCATGTTCCAATTGAGAGACATGAAATTATATTTCCTTTGAGGCTTCATTTCTCTTATGACTTAGGTTGAACATCTTTATGTTTGTTTGAGACACTCACGAGTTCCCTTGAAATGTCTAGTTCTTTTTTTATTAGGTTCTTGTGGTTTTTTGTTTGTTTTAATAGGAATTTTCTCTAAGGATATTTGGACTGTTCTAGTCATACCTATTGCAGATATTTTTCCCCTAACTTCAACTATATTTTTGCTAGAGAGAAATCTTAGATTTTAAGATAGATTTCCCCATCTTTTATTTTATGGCCTCTTAGAAGCCATAAAGCTTACATTATTACGCTTAGAAAGTTATTTCCCACTTTATGATAGTAAAGCGGTTTTTGTGTGTTTTCTTCACTACCTTTTGGGATTCTTTTTGTGTATTTATTGAAATCTTGTATCACTTTAGATTTTTTTTTTGTTTCACAGTCAAGTGGGGTCCCAGCTCCTGCCCCCACCCTCAGAGCTGGTTGTCCAGTTGCTCTTCTGACATTTATTGACTAACCCACCCACCTTTCTCCATCTAATCCGAAATGCTTCCCCTATCCTGTAATAAACTCCTGTATGTGTATTTGTCTATTTCTGGGTATTCTGTCCTATTAACTGAACTATACATAAGTCAATTCTAAACTGTTTAATTACGTTGTGGGGCCAACCTCCCCTGCCATTGGTCTTTTTTCAGTATTTTCCTGGCTATTCTTATATATTTTAACTTTTTGAGCTTTAGAATCAGTTTATTCAATTAAAAAATTCTTACTGGCCTCTTTTTTTTTTTTTTAAAGAATCAGACAAAATTATATTAATCTAGAGAGAATTGACAGCTATGGAATATTGAATTGCTTTGTCCAAGAACAGGATCTATTACCCAGTGGAGTTACACATGTGGTTCTCACGAACATGGTACCTCCTTTGTGTGTGTTGTTCCCGTTGTCCATGGGATCAATTATTCACCATTGTGGTTCCTCGCTGCTGGTGTTTCAATATTAATTTTGTCCTCATCCACCTTACTAAACTCTCATTTTGTGTATGTCATTATTCTGGTTGGTATCCTTGGATTTTTTTCAGGTGTGCAATCATATCATCTGAAAATAGTAATGATTCTCTGTCTTCCCTCTCAATTTTTGTACCTCATTTCTTCCTCTTTTCTAATCATATCTGCTGGTACCTCCAAATTGGTGTTAAATAGTAACCATGTTTTTCCTTCAGTGGAAATGCTTGTAGTAGTTCAGCACTAAGCTTAATGACAGATTTGGGCCTGAGTTCATGTAAAATCATGTAACTTTAGCCAGGGGGTAATCTGCGTGAAGTGAAACCTCAGTGCTAACCCTTCACCTGGGCGAGCAACGTCTGAGCCCTTGGAGTAGGACCGCCTGGGCCGGCTCTGGATTAGGCTCCCCAGTCTGCAGGACGTGCTTGCAGGGGGAGTTGAGCAAAGTAGTGTGTAGTTCTCCCATTCTCTTAAGTTAGTGTCTTTATTTGTTGTTAGGTCCCCATCACCTCCGTCCCTGACCCAGTCCTGGGATATTCATTTTACTTCCTTCCACATTTCATTATCATTTCCTATTTATGAAGGTCTGTACTTGAGGTTAACATTTTTTTCTAAAGTATTTCCTTAGCCATACTAAAAATTCCAGATATCAATACCTATGGTCTACAGCTAATTTATAGATAATTCTATATTAAAGGCACTGAGTGCCTCTATGGCCCAAGACAACTGTTAGCCCTTCTAAACTTTTCATATGATAGGATTATTTGTTGACTGGTTTTGATATTATTCTCTTTAGTTTCATTGCTAAGTTTTAGACTTTTCCCCCCCAAAAAAAATTCTCATGGGGATATATCCTTTGAAATTTAGCCTTTGAATATGTGAACATATTTCTCTTTCTTTATACAAAAACAAAGATGCTAAGTATAAGCTTCCTGGAATGACAGTGTCTTGATATCTTTTTAAAACATTCCTCTCCTAGCACTGGGTGTAACTGCAGAATAAGGAGAACCAATACCAATTGTTTCTCCTTTTACTAGTGGTAGAACCATTTTGCCTGGAAACCAAAAGGATTCTTTACCTTTTGAGGGCATGGATTTCCTAGGACATGTCTCAGTTTTTCTCAGGCTGCATCACTTTTCCTGAGATGTTATACTCTTCTGAGCTCGAGAATTAAAACATTTTTGTTGCATTCGATAACTCCCTTCACAGGAGCAGCTGGTGCACACACCAAGTCCTGTGGCTTCAGACACACCCTCTGCTCCTCCCTTGCTCCCTGTCCTCTTTCCATGTGGCGTTCATCCTTGACCCTTATCTGTGCACCAAGCTCTGGTCCTACCTTGGCCATGCAGAGAACCTTGGTCATTATTTTCACCTGCTCAGCAGCAACCCTTTTCTGTCCACCTTCTTCGTCTGGAGCATTTCTTTTCTTTTTCTTTTTTTTGGCAGTCAACAGAATTTAATTTTTTTAATTAATTTTTTTATTTTTGTTACAGATGTTTCTCCTTTTCCCCACACTGATTCACCCTTCCCCAGTTTGTTGTCCATGTCCATTGTTCATGCCCATATACATGTAAGTTCAGTGGTTTATCTCTCCCCCACCACCCTCTCTTCTGGGGACTGTCAGTCTGTACCCCACTTCCACATCTCTGGGACTACCCCATTCCTCAGATTATTATGTTCATTATATTCCACAAATAAGTGAGATCATGTGATATTTGTCTTTCTCTGCTTGGTTTGTTTTGCTTAGGATAATACTTTCCATGTCCCTCCATGTTGTCTCAAAGGAAAGAGATCTTTCTTTCTTACAGCTGCATAGTACGCCATTGTGTATATGTCCCATAGCTTTTTTATCCATTCGTCTACTGATGGACATTTGGGCTGTTTCCAGACCTTAGCTATTGTAAATAGTGCTGCTATGAACATGGGGGTACATATATTCTTTCTGATTGGTGTTTCAGGCTTTTCAGGGTATATTCCTAGAAGTGGGATCACTGGGTCAAATGGAAGTTCAATTTTTAATTTTTTGAGGTAACAGCGTATTGTTTTCCATAGTGGCTGCATCAGTCTGCATTACCACCAGCAGTGTACTAGAGTCCCCTTTTCCCCAAACCCTCGTCAACACTTGTTGTTTGATGATTTGTTGATGGCGGCCATTCTGACAGGTGTGAGGTGATACCTCATTGTTGTTTTAATTTGCATCTCTCTGATGATTAGTGACGTTGAGCATTTCTTCATATGTCTCTCAGCCATTTGGAGAGGTGTCTATTTAGTTCCTCTGCCCATTTTTTAATTGGGTTCTTTGTCTTCCTTTTGTTGAGCTGTATGAACACTCTCTGTATATTGGAAATTAACCCCTTATCTGATATATCATTGGCAATTATGCTCTCCCATACAGTGGGTTGTCTTTCCATTTTGATGATTGTATCTTTTGCTGTGCAGAAGCTTTTTAGTTTGATGTAGTCCCATGTGTTCATTTTCTCCTTTATTTCTGTTGCCTTAGGTGATGTATCAGTGAAAATTCTGCTGTGTATGATGTCTGAAATTTTGTTGCCTACATTTTCTTCTAGGATTTTTATGGAATCATGAGTCACATTTAAGTCTTTTATCCATTTTGAGTTTATTCTTGTGTATGGTGTAAGCTGATGGTCTAGTTTTATTTTTTTGCATGTAGCTGTCCAATTTTCCCAACACCATTTATTTTGTTGCCTACATTTTCTTCTAGGATTTTTATGGAATCATGAGTCACATTTAAGTCTTTTATCCATTTTGAGTTTATTCTTGTGTATGGTGTAAGCTGATGGTCTAGTTTTATTTTTTTGCATGTAGCTGTCCAATTTTCCCAACACCATTTATTAAAGAGGCTGTCTTTACTCCACTTTATGCTCTTGCCCCCTTTGCCAAATATTATTATTATTATTATTATTATCCTCACCCAAGGACATTTTTCAATATTTTGATCAGATAGAGTGGGAGGGAGAGAAAGAGAGAGAAACATGGACGTGAAAGGGACACATTGAGTGGTCGCCACCCACACAACCCAATCAGGGCCGGGGACAAACTGCAACCGAGGTACGTGCCCTTAGCAGAAACCGAACCCGGGTCTCTCCACACCGCAGGCCAACGCTCTAACTGCTGAGCCAAACCGGCCAGGGCCCTTTTGCCAAATATTAATTGAGCATATTGCCTTGGGGCCATTTCTGGGTTCTCTATTCTATTCCATTGATCTATCTGCCTGTTCTTGTGCCAGTATCAGGCTGTTTTGATTACAGTGGCTTTGTAGTATAACCTGATATCTGGTATTGTGATCCCTCCAACTTTGTTCTTCTTTTTCAAGATTGCTGTGGCTATTCGGGGTTCTTTTTTAGTTCCATAAGAACTTCTGAAGTATTTGTCTAGTTCTGTGAAGTATGTTGTTGGTATTTTGATACAGATTGCATTGAATCTATAGATTGCTTTGGGTAATATGGACATTTTAATGATGTTAATTCTCCAATCCATGAACAAGGTATGTGCTTCCATTTTTTTCTTTCTTCCTCTATTTTTTTCAATGACCTGTAGTTTTCTGCGAATATGTTCCTTATTTCTTTGGTTAAGTTTATTCCTAGGTATCTTAATTTTTTTGCCACAATGGTAAATGGGATTGTTATTTTAGTTTCTCTTTCTGTGATTTCATCGTTGGTGTATTTCATCATTGATTTCTTGATGTTAATTTTGTATCCTGCTACTTTGCCAAATTCATTTATTAAGTCTAGTAAATTTTTGATGGAGTCTTTGGGGTTTTCTATGTATTGTATCATGTCATCTGCGAATAATGACAGTTTTACTTCCTCCTTTCCAATTTGGATCCCTTTCATTTTTTTCTTCCTGTGGCTAAGACCTCTAATACTATGTTAAATAAGAGTGGTGAATGTGGGCATCCTTGCCTTGTTCCTGTTCTTAAGGGAAACGCTTTCAATTTTTGCCCATTGAGTATGATGTTGGCTGTAGGTCTTTCATATATGGCCTTTATTATGTCTAGATATGATCCCTCTATTCCCACACTGCTGGGTGTTTTTATCAGAAATGGATGCTGGATGTTGTCGAAGACTTTTTCGGCATCTATTGATATGATCATGTGGTTTTTATTCTTCATTTTATTTATGTGCTGTATCACATTTATTGATTTGCGAATATTGTATCAGCCTTGCATCCCTGGCATGAATCCCACTTGGTCATGGGGAATAATTTTTTTGATGTATTGCTGGATCCCATTTGCTAGTATTTTGTTCAGGATTTTGGCATCTGTGTTCATCAGGGATATTGGTCTGTAGTTTTTTTTTCTTTGTAGTGTCTTTTTCTGGTTTTGGAATTAGAATTATGCTGGCCTCATAAAACGAGTTTGGAAGTCTTCCTTCTTCTTGAATTTTTTTGAAATAGTTTGAGGAGAATGGGTATTAGTTCTTCTTTGAATGTTCGGTAAAACTCCCCCATGAAGATGTCTGGGCCTGGGCTTTTGTTTGCTGGGAGAGTCTTGATTACATCTTCAGTTTCTTCTGTTGTTATTGGTCTGTTCAAGTTTTCTATCTCTTCCTGGTTCAGTTTTTGGAGACTGTGTGTTTCTAGAAATGTGTCCATTTAGCTTAGATTGTCAAATTTGTTGTCGTATAATGTTTCATGATATTTGTTAACAATCCTTTGTATTTCTGTGGTGTCAGTTATTATTTCTACTCTTTCATTTCTGATTTTGTGCATTGGGTTCTCTCTCTTTGTTTCTTGGTGAGTCTAGGTAATGGTCCATCAATCTTGTTTATCTTTTCAAAGAACCAGCTCTTTGTTTCATCGATCCTTTGAATTGTTTTTTTTTTCCATCTCCATGTCATTTATTTCTGCTCTGATCTTTACTATTTCCTTCCTTCTACTTGCTCTGAGATTTTCTTTCTGTTTGCTTTCTAGTTCTTTAAATTGTGAGGTTAGATAGTCTATTAGAAATTTTTCTTGCTTCTTGAGGTAGGCCTGTAGTGCTATGAACTTCCCTCTCAGAACTGCTTTTGCTGCATCCCATAGATTTTGTCTTGTTGTGTCTTCATGTTCATTGGTTTCCAGGAAGTTTTAAATTTCTTCCTTGATCTCCATACACAGCAGTAGTACCAGTGCCCCGAGAATCAGAACACCTTGTCCTCTCCCAGAGCCACCGGCTCTGCAAAGGCCAGTCGTGGTAAGAACTAGTACAGTCACCTTTATTTTTGCTTGGAATGGAAGTAAGTTCTCTTGAGAGGTAAAAGAGTGTGACACTCTTTTATACACCCCACTGAGCCATGTGGCTGTGACTGTATTGGACCCTCATTGAGAACGGACTGTTTTGTGCTCTTGCATAACAGCATGTGATCTATCACTGAAGCTTGGAGACCAAGAGACATGCCCTGAATACTCAGCATAGGTGCAGAGCTGATAGACACTCACCGTCTCCCTAGATGCTCGTGCATCTTCATAACTGTCCTTAGAGGCCTGTGTTTCACTTTCCTGGGTAGTAAGTCATGAGGTCCCTTCCACTCCTCTCCCCTCTCATGGCAAGGCCTGGGGTAGAGGACATGTCTGCTACCTTCCCTGTGGTTAGTTGGTCTGTGAATTCAGAACACACACCCACTGGTAGCTTTGGTCCTCGGTGCATGAGCATCTTAGCTCCTTATTTGTGTCCTCACATAAAGTCTGTTAGCAAATCGCCTATTAGACACCTGGTATTTGCTTGAGATGATGGTGGGAAGAAAATTCCTGTACAATGCAAGTAGCCCCCAAATAGTATTTTAAGTACCTCGTGGTGTAAGTTTTGTTTTTTTAATTAGTAACACTAATGGCCTGAATTTTTTTTGTTGCATAGTGACAGTATATGGAGTACAGCATATGGAGTAATTCCACTCCCAGGTGTGCCACTGTCTACATTTCTCGTCAAGAGTGAAGCCAATCATTAGAGATTATATCCTTCACCATCTGGAAACTGACTTCCATAAATTATTTTTTAGGTCTCCCTTGCCAGAATGAAATGAACAGGATTCAGAAGCTGAGCAAGGGGAAAAGCCTGTTAGGTAAGTACAATTTTTTGCCACTTGTTTAAACAACTAATTAAACCATCATGTCTCTTGTAATATTGAGCACAGCAATGGTTATTCAATTAGGGATCCGTATTTCATTACAGAAATGCCTCCCTTACCCCACACTGGTCTCTTTCAGGTAGCAGACAATATGCCTGAGCCAGCGGGCAGATGAGCTAGGGCTGGAGTCTGCTCTCTGACCTTGGGCTCCTGTGAATCTCTGCTTTTTCTTCTTCCAAGTACAGCCTTTGAATAGAGCTCTCAAGTGTTCCTTCCTACTCTAAATTTATAGGATTTCCTATATTCCCGTGCTCGTGATCCCTGGAAGCAAGTGTATGGCTATCTGGACATGACACATTTCTCCCCTTCTTTGTCCAGTGTAAGGTGGAAGCAGGAGGTACGTGTATTTTCCCACCATGACAGTCTGGCAAGGCCCTGGTTCCCTCAGCTCCATGCCGTCCTCTGCAGCACTCAGAGTTGTGTGGCATTCAGACCAGGTCTTCCCTGGGAAGTTGGTAAACCTCACCGTATGCCAGAAAAGACGGAGTCTGCATTGCTGTCCTTGCTTTTTAAAAATGGAGCTGGTGCAATAATTCACAATTATTCTCATTAAGCATTCAGGAGCAGGGCATTCCCTAAGCAGCTTGCTGTTTCAGAAGTTTTTTACTGGTTGTCAGATGTAGGCCATCTGTGAACTCGGGTGATTTCTCCTCTTCTAATGCCTCAAAGTACTCACTCCTCTTTCCTTCTACTTTTGAAAATTAGTTGTTTCACTTGCTTGGTTCAAACTTTGCACACCTGACAACATTCTGTTCAACTCAGAACTCCGAAGTGGAGACATCCCTCTCCCATAGGACTTGTGCTTAGTGCTCCGATTCCGCCATGTGGGTGAGAGTTTACTTGGGGTTTGAGTGATGTGCCTAAGGTATGCAGGTAGCTACAGAACTAGTATAATGCTATTTTAAAATATTTGTTTCCATTGGATATACATGTCTTCTTACTGCTTCATTGATGCATAATGAATTAAACGTGAGATGTGGTCTGAGATACAATGTTTCATCTTCCACTCTCCTCCACTCTCCTCGCTCACTTCTGTCCCACCATAAATCCTACCTACCTAGTTTGAAAGCTTACTTTCTCTCACATCTCTCCACATATGAAGATTACTCTTGCTGACTCACAAAAATACCATTTATCTGCTTACAAATTATTGTTCACATGATGGAATCTTCTGATCTAATAGATTGTGTTCAGTACCACTGCTGCCTACTTAGAAGCATGCTTGGCCTATTACACTGCAGATGTAGAGCCGCACCTGCGAACCCGGGGGCTCGGCCCAATGTGGTTTTATTTATTAAGTGCTTGTTTTCCAACTGCAGCCCAAGGAGGCAGAGCCCCATTTCTCCATCTCTCTACTTGTTCTTTGCAGATCTTATTTGAGAATCTGTTCACAAATCTCTGCTTTTTGGTTATTAAAAACATCTACTTTTTCTTCTTCCTGCTCCCTGAAGACGTGGGGTACTGAGCCTCTAAATTAGAGTGTGGGCACTACTCTCTAACTGCAGCAGGCCTACCTATCACTTAGGAATTGTTTTCTGGGGACATCTTTCAATCCATGATCTCTGTGCCTGCTAAGCTGAAACCTGGGGTCAAACCCAGGTTCAAATAGTAAAAATCTCTCTCCCAAGCCACACTTCTTTCTCTTTCTGGAGTCTATACCATAAAGAGGTAAATAACAAAAAAAAAAAGTCAAATAAAATTAAGGAATAGACGGTATCTTCAAAGTGCTGAGAGGAAATCACTTTGAACCTGGAATGTAAACTTAATCCAAAGAGCACATCTAAACATGATGACAGATATTCTCAAACCCCAGATTTACTGAAGACTTACCAAAATGATTTACTTTATAGAAGATAAATAATCCCAAAAGGAATTAATTGTGAAAAAAGACATGCAGCCTGGCCAGTGTGGCTCAGTGGTTGAGCATCGACCCCTGCACCAAGAGGTCGCTGGTTTGATTCCCAGTCAAGGCACATGCCCAGGTTGTGGGCCCGATACCCAGTTGGGGGCATGCAGGCGGCTGCCAGTCCACGTTTCTCTCTTTCTCTCTCCCTCTTAAAGAAAAACAAATTTTAAAAGACATGTAGCTAAATCTACATAAATATGACCCATAAAAATGTTTTGATAGCAAGCTGAACTTAAAATTTCAGACTATTGCTTGGGTTGCAGGCCCAATCCTCAGTGGGGGGCATGCAGGAGGCAGCCAATCGATGTTTCCATCTCTCTCCCTTCCTCTTTCCAGAATCAAAAAAAAATAGAGCTGAAATTTTTAAAAAATAATTTCAGACTACTGGTGGCAGTGAGCAAAAGTGGTAAAATATGTTAAATTTCTGATTTATTAGGACTAGAATATATAGTTTCTAAACCTACAGAAGAAAAACATGGAATAAAAAAAAATGCAATCATTTTAACAAAAGGCATGAAAGGAGGAAAATAAGAGCAAGCCTATCTGTAATCTCAATAAATATGAATGGGTCTAACTCATTTAGAGACTGTTGATTGGTATTTTTTAAAAGACAGTTACATATAAAACACAGAAACTTCAAACTAACAGAGAATAAAGACTCCTTTTTAGAACAATGTTAAAATCTGACAGTAGCAAATACCTTGTTTTGAATTCTAGAAATAAAGACAATATCATTTTGCTGAAATGTTCCTTTTACCATCTGATGTCATCAATTGGTGTATCCATGACTTTAAAACAAAATTGCAAGGAGGAACTGTCATAATTATAATCATAATCAGAGACTTTAAATATACCTGTCTTCTTGAAACTTACAGTTCAAGTAGGCAAAAGTAATATATATATATTTATATATAGGGAATTGAATAGTATGGTTAGTTAGCATTGATGTAAATGTATTCCTGTACACCAGCATAGAATATACAATCTTTACAAACACACAGGAAATATTTGCCATGGATTATGCCAAAAGAAAACTCAATCAATCTCAAAAATCATCAGAGATGGTATTCACTTGCCACACACAATAAAAGTAGAAGTAAATGAGATGGCCAAAAACCCATACATCTTTTTTTTTTAATAAATAATTACTCAAGGATGAAATACAGTATAACCTACAAAGCTCTGAGAATGACTGAAAAGGAAAGCATTGTGTACCAAAATCAGAGGGATGCAACTAAAGTGAAACTAGAGAGGAACAGTCAGAGCTTCAAATGCACTTATGAAAAAAATGAAATTTTCAAGTTAGAAGCTATGAGATCACCACAGTAAACTGAAATGATTAAGACTAAAGCAGAACAATGAAGTAGACCAACCTCTGCCAAAGTGAAAGGTTAAAATGTGCTCATGAATCAAGAAGAGGATGTACGCTCAAATAGAGCGTATGTGTCAGAATCACATGGAGGGCTTACTAAAGCAGTTTGTTGGGCCCCACTTCCAAAGGTTCTGGGTGGATCTGGGTGGGGTTGGGCCCAGGAATTAGCTGAGCTGTTTCCAGGTGATGTTGCAGCTACTGGTCCTGTATGATCACTTTGAGAGCCACCACTATCAACCAGTTATAACAACTATGAAACACTCATTGAAAAGGACACCATGAAGGACCACATGTGAGTAATAAAGAACCAGAAAAGCCCTGGCCAGATTGGCTCAGCGGATAGAGCATCGGCCTGCGATCCAGAGAGACCCGGGTTCGGTTCCCGCTAAGGGCACGTACGTACCTCGGTTGCAGTTTGTGCCCGGCCCTAGTTGGGTCGTGTGGGAGGCAGCCACTCGATGTGTACCTTGCATGTCGATGTTTCTCTCCCTCCCTCCCACTCTATCTGAACAAAATATCAAAAAATGTCCTCGAGTGAGGATTAAAAAAAAAAAAGAACCAGAAGACCCAGCTAGATTAAAAAAACATGAAATTAATTTAAATCAAAATGCTACTCATTCCCCCCAATATATACCAGGCCTCACATATTTTTATGGGTGAATCCTTTATGGAAGAGATTATTCTCATTTTATACAAAATGTCTAGAGTATAGAAAAAGAGAAAAATACCCAAAATGGTTTTAGGAATTCATTAGTTTGATACAGAAATAGCAGAAACAAAATTACATGCCTCCATCATTTAGTAACAGGTGCAAAAAGGTCAGTAAATTGCCCTGGCCGGTTTGGCTCAGTGGTTAGAGCATCGGCCTGCGGTCCTGAGAGACCCGGGTTCGGTTCCCGCTAAGGGTGCGTACCTCGGTTGCAGTTTGTCCCCGGCCCTGGTCGGTTGTGCGGGTGGCAGCCACTCGATGTGTTCCTTTCACATCGATGTTTCTCTCTCACTCTCTCTGTTCCTCTCTCTCCCTCCCACTCTACCTGAACAAAAAAATGGAAAAATGTCCTCGGGTGAGGATAAAAAAAAAAAAGTCAGTAAATTGAATCAGTGATATACCAAATAGCAGTGTGTCATGACCAAGTAGTATTTATTCCAGTAAAACAAAGAGAAAGAGATTTGAAATTGAACAACTTTAATTCATCTCATTAAAAGTAAGTAAAGGATAAAAAAAAAATCATATGATTTTATCAACTGTTAAAGTTATTGAATCAGGAAGAAACAGGAAATATGAATCAGTAATGAAAAATCTCCCAAGAATAAAAGCCTAGGACCATACAGCGTCACTGGTGAATTTTGTTATTGTTGTTAATCCTCATCCGAGGATATTTTTTCCCCATTGAATTTTAGAGAGAATGGGAGGGAAAGAGAGAAACATCCATATGAGAGAGACACATCGATTGGTTGCCTCCTGCATGCACCCCGACTGAGGCTGGATATCGAACCTGTAACCTTTTGGTGTGTGGTATGCAGACCGATGCGCTAACCAGTGACCCACACCAGCCAGGGCTCCACTGGTAAATTTTACTAAACATTTAAAGAAGAATTAACATCAATCCTTCTCAAACTCTTCCAAAAAATCAAAAAGGAGAGAACACTTCCAAATTAATTTTACCAGACCAGAATTATCCTACTAGCAAAGCCAGAAAAGTAGAGGCTAATGTCCCTGATGGATGTAGATGCAAAAATTTCCAATGAAACACTAGCAAACCAAATTCAGCAGCACATTAAAAGGATCATTCACTGTGATCACATGGGATTTATCCCTGTGATGTAAGGATAGTTCAACACCTGCAAATCAGTCTGTGTGATGTATCTCATTAACAAAATGAAGGGCAAAATCATAAGACCATCTCAACAGAAGCAGAAAATCATTTGACAAAAGTCAACAATTGTTCATGATAGAAACTTCCAACAAATTAGGTATGGAAGGAACATACTTCAACATAATAAAGGCCATTATGACAAGACCACAGCTAATATAACGTTCAATGGTGACAGGCTGAAAGCTTTTCCTCTAGTAAGGTGCCCACCCTCACCACTCCCATCTAACCCAGTACTAGAAGTCCTAGCCAGCACAAAGGCTACATAAATATGTAAGTAAATAAAAGACATCAGAATTGGAGAAAAGTAAATTAGTTTATATTTGCAGATGACACAATTATGCATATGAAAAACCCTAGACTCCACCAAAAACCTGTTAGATCTAAATCAACCAATTTAGTAAATTTTCAGGATACAAAACTAACATGCAAAAGTAAGTAGCATTTTTACACACTAACAACAAATTATCTGAAAAAGGAATAAAAAGATACAATTTATAATAGCATCAAAAACAAAATACTTAAGAATAAATTTAACCAAGGAGAAAGAGCGCTCCATTGAAAACCATGAGACATTAAAGAAGAAATAAAAGACAAATAAATCAAAAGATACCTTGTATTCATGGATTATAATTAATATTACCCAAAGCCATCTATCTTTAGATTCAATGCAATACCTATCAAGATTCCAATGGCATTTTTTACCGTTGAAAAAAACAATCCTAAAGTTTGTACAAAACCACAAAAGACCCTGAATGGCAAAAGCAATCCTGAAAAAAGCAAAGTAGCAAGCATCACTATTCTGATTTCAAGCTGTATTATAAAGCTATAGCAATCAAAACCATATGGCATAAAATAGACACACAGACCAATGGAACAGAACAGAATCAACAGCCCAAAAATAAACCCGTGCATACACCATCAACCAAGGACCCAAGATTACTCCATGAGGAAAAGGCAGTCTGTTCAATAAAAGGTGCTGGAGAAATTATACATTTACATGGAAAAGAATAAAACTAGTCCCCAATTCTACACCACTCACAAAATACAACTCAGTGGATTGAAGACTTACATGTAAAACTGGAAACCATGAAAGGTGTAGAAGGAAACAGAAGTAAGAGCTCCTTGACCTGGGTCTTTGTAATGACATTTTGGATATGACACCTAAAACACAAACAACAAAATGAAAAACAAGTGGGACTACATCAAACTAAAAGCCTCTGCACAGCAAAGAAAACCATCAGCAAAGAGAAAATAACCTATGAAATGAAAATATTTGCAAACCATATATCTGATAAGGGGTTAATATCTGAAATATATAAGAAACTCATACAAGTTAATAACAAAAATTATAATCATCATCCAATTAAAAATGGGCAAAGGACCTGAATAGATCCTTTTGTACAAGAAGATAGACACAGGTCCAATAGGGAAATAAAAATGTGCCCAACGTTACTAACATTAGGGAAATGCAAATCAAAACCACAGTAAGATCACTCCATGCCTGTTCAAATGGCTATCATCAAAAAAGATAACAAATGCTTGGGAGGATATAGAGAAAAGGAAACCCTTATACACTGCTAGTGAGATTGTAAATTGGTGTAGCCACTATGGAAAACAGTATGGAGGTTCCTCAAAAATTGAAAATGGAACTACCATATGATCCAGCAATTCCACTTTTGGGAATTATCTGAAGAAAATGAAAACACCAACTCAGAATACCTGCACCCCATTCACTGCAGCATCATTTACAATAGCCAAGACATGGGAACAACCTCAGTGCCTACTGGCGGATGAATGGATAAAGAAAATATGGTGTACACATCCAGTGGAATATTATTATTCAGCCATAAAAACAAAGGAAATCCTGTTAACTGTGACAGAATGGATGGACCTTGGGGGCATTATGCTGAGTGGAATAAATCAGACAGAAAGACAATATGGCATGGTCTCACTAATATGTGGAATCTAAACTACAACAAGTTCATAGAAAAAGAGCAGATGTGTGGTTACCAAAAGCAGATAGGCGGCGCGGGGGTGGGGGGTCAAAAAGTACAAGTTTCCAGTTGTAAGATTAGTATTGGACACATAATGTACAGCATGATGCCTGCAGCTCACACTGCTTAAAATATGTCTCTAAGTTGTTGAGAGTCGACTCTAAGAGTTTCATCACAAGGGGAACATTTTTCCTCTTTGTGTCTCTGTGAAATGAGGGCGTAAACTAACCCTGTCGTGGTCGCCATCTCACGGGGTTAGGGAGCCCAGTCGTCACCGCACACCTTTCGCCGCGTGTGGTGCTGCACTGTGGTATCTCAGCTGCACTGCAAAACATAAAGTAAAAGCTATTAATAACAGTAGTGTGTATTTGCAATTTAAAGGGAAAATAGGAACTCATCAGAGAAAGGAAAGAAGGAATCCTACCTATCCTTGAGCAAGTCACAGGGCCCTGTCATCTTGACTGAGTTAACCAGCCAGCCCGGCAGCGAACACCGTGCCTGACCGCGATCCCTCTTCTGAGCGTCTCTCCCTTCTCTGACCCCCAGGAACGTTCGTGCCCCGGTGCAATGAGGAGGGCTATTACAGAGCCACGCAGTGCCACAGCGGCACGGGGCAGTGCTGGTGTGTGGACAGGTACGGGAACGAGCTGGCCGGCTCCAGGAAGCAGGGCACCGTGAGCTGTGGTGAGTAGGCCTCTGTCCCCCACGATGCTCTCTGTACCCATAGGTCCTCGCTGTGGTAGGTTCTGAGTAGAATAATGTCAAGAGGTGGCTGTGGTGTACAGTGAGTGGCCTTACAAGGGAGACAGAGTAACCCTGAAATTACATGAGATGATGCATGCATCTGGCTTTTTGGGTGGCCACTGGGCTGGAGGGCAATTTTTGACACTTGGGAGAATAAACCTCCCCAGAAGGCAGAAGTATCTCAAGAATTCTGGGGCTCCTATCAGAACAAAGCTTGGGGGCTATGCCATGCAGAGTAACCCCCAGACAGGGATGCTCCCATGTTCAGAAAGTGAAGTACATGCTTTTGCCCTGCAATTAAGTCACATGCGGGGGAACCCCTGACATGGGTTGTGAGTATAAGCAGAAACTAACCTCAATCTTTTCCTCCTCCCTCGAGTTTAGAAGAGGAGCAGGAAACCTCAGGAGACTTTGGCAGCGGGGGCTCCGTGGTCCTCCTGGACGATCTGGAGGACGCACGGGAGCTGGGCCCAAAGGACAAACTGGGGAAGCTGCGGATGCATACCCGGGCGGTGACAGAGGACGACGAGGATGAGGACGACGACAAAGAGGATGAGGTCGGGTACATATGGTAGTGCCCACAAGGGAGAGGACACAGGCTGGCACGAAACTGCAAGTTTCTTCCTGTCCCTGCATTTGTATCTAAGACTCCACGGCACCAAGGTCTCGTCTCCCTTGTCGCTCTCTGTGCCCGGCCTGCGGTCTGGAGGACGGCTACTTGTCCCCAGAGCATTCTGGTCTTGCTTACGGCTCTGTGGGAAGGAAGGTGTTGTGCTGTGTTGTGTGTTTAGACAGGAGACTGGCTGAGCTAGAGCCTCCTTCCCTCCCATGAGACCGGTGCACCGAGCATGATTTACGGAGGATTTGACAGTGCAGGGAGCCCCACCCTCAATGTCGAAGACCCTTTTCCGACTAGGGCGGTTATTCAGCATGGTTCCGGCCTGACGGTGTCTAAGTGCTTTTCTGTGTCTTGTAGATGTCGTGGAAAATACACCACACTGTACTCGATCCCGCTCCCACCACCCCTGGTGTTCATTGTTAAAAATTAGTTACATCACTATATCTGGCTTCCTACAAACAACAGCCTTAATTCAGTCAAGAATCCTTTTGGGGAACTGATTTTCTTTATTAAAAATGGTGTCTGGATGCTTCTCTCTGTACATGCGTATATGTATACATATGTACAGAAGAGACTGTGTGTGTGCAAGGTACACACATCACTAAGAAAACCTGTTTGACTATCTATTAACAATTCATTTGAAAAACAATATACATGTGTCAGCTTGTCCAGACCTGGAGCACAATTCTGGAACGGCATTTGTTCGCAGTCCTGTTTGCACTAAGGTTGGCACTTGCAGCCCACAGGTGGAGGAGGGTTCTTCTCTAAGCATCAGCAATTGCTGGAGCCTCTTTGATTTGGATGAGCCTCTGCCTGCCTGAATCACTTCTCTTGTACAAGCCATGAGACTCCCACGTGGGCAGCGTCACAAGCCATCTCTTCCATTCAGCTCAAAGCCCCCTCGGGCTGCAGCAGTCCCAACCTACTCAAGGGCTTGCTCTAAGGCTGTACACGTAGCCCCGCTCGTGGTGTTCCTTAGAAGAAAATTTGGGATTCTTAACTCAAGGTTTTGTTTTTGCCGCCATTCCATCCACAAATCACAAAGGGATAAAAAGCAGCATCAAATCCTCTAAGGAGCTTCACAGTTGCACATGGAGGCTGGGTGTTTAAGAGTTGGCCTGTCTCCATGCCCTTGCCCAGACCAGTGGCAAGGTACTGATGAAGAGAGTCCTTCACCATTTGCGTTTCTTTCCCTAAGTAAAACCATTATTGGAGTCCATCTCCAAATCTAGTGGAGTTGTCATCGCCCTAGTCTTCAGGTCCTTCCTCCCTGTCAGGCTGGCCCAGATACCAGGGCGAGTACCAAAGAGCAGTCTTCAAAGTGGCCCCGTGTAGTTTAGTGATGGCCTTCGGCTCCTGTCCCACCTGGTGTCCGTCTGCCTGGATGCCCCAGGCAGCCACCCAGCAAGGCTCTCTGGCCCCCAGTTTTTCTTCCCTTCCTCATTAGCTCCAGCTAGTCCACAGAAAGACCAACTCAGGCAAAAAATGTGCTCAGCCAAACCATGATTGCAATGGCAGATGACCAACCCTTCACCCCAAAATGACCATTTCTTTGTACGTTTCCCACCCACCTGAAACTAGCATTTTCCAACCCTTTCATTGGCTGGACAAAGTGGCTTTACCCCTGAAGCTAGTCTCAGAAGGGAGATGAACAGGCTCGATGTAGAGAACCCCTCAGGCCCGACAGACACAAGTACAGCCAGGACCCTAGATGCAGGGAGACCACAGGCAAGCACTGGTGGAGATCTCAACTCCATCGCCTCTGTGTTAATATTTTTTTCCTAACTTGCACAAAACTTGGAGATCATAATTTAAAAACAGGTGCTTAATTGCAGCTAAATTACAATAGAGTATATAAAAGCATCAAGACATTTTTAAAAGTCTCTGTTTAGACCCTCAAAGAAAGCCATTGTGACTATCTCCTCCAAGCTTGGAAAAATGCACAAGAGAACAAATTAAAATTGACAAACTGATTACACTTAGAGAAACTAATTATCTTATGACAAGTGTCAAATTAGATGACACTTAAAGCATTAGTATAATGACGGAGAAGAGTGTCAATAGTCAATTCCCAGGAAGGTAATGAGATGCTCATTTTCAGAGATATTCCAAGAAGATATTTTGATCATTAAAATACTAAATAAAAAGCCCTCCTACCACCAGAACCCCAAACCAGGGGGGGCCACACTCATGCCACTGTTCATGCTCACTTGGGCTGGGCAGCATTTGATTTTTTAAAGAGCTTTAATACTTCCTGCTTGTCAAAAGTACTGAAGCTTAGATTTTTTTATTTTAGTTACTTTATCCTTAGAAGTACAATTTTTGTTTTCTTTCTTTTGGCAGGAATCCTTTAGCTAGTGCCAAGGTGTACATAACACTCATCATGAAAAAACACTTCTGTGATCATCTAGTCCCTTGCTTGAGACAGGCATTGAATTCTCACTAGCTCATTTTTGGAAACTCCTTCGTAAGTAGTTTTATTCTTATTCCATAAATGATTCTCTTGTTTAATACCGTTTCCTTAGCATCCAACTTAAATCCCAGAATTTTCTCCCACCTTGCTTAGTTTTCTGCCATATTAATGTCTTTTTGTTTCTATAGACATTCACAGCATGGGAATACTTTAATACTGAATTTGAGGTTTTGTATCAGTTTCCCCTTCTTTATGCCCATTCCCCAGGCCCAGCAATGAATGAGGACATGTCTGTCCAGGTCTGCCCCTGCTTTTCCCAGGACACCATTCCCTTGTGTTTACGTCGGCCACACTGTACAGTGACAACCTTTCTACAGTGGATGGTTTTGGTCTTTTTTACACTTTCTTCTTGGAGTCCCTGTGTGTCCCTGTTCAGTGTGCAGCGCTGTAGTGGCAGCCACCGCACTCCGAGTGTCAGCTTGTTGTCCTTCTTGTAGACAAAGCAGTGATGTAGGAAAACCTAGTGAATTCTGAATGCTTTTTCTATGTAGGCTTATCTGGTTAATAGTAATTGCTTAACTGTAGTCCTGAGTAGGTGCATTTCTGTCTGTCTCAATAAATTTTAATTTGTCTGCAACATCTGAGTGTTGGTGTTTTGTTAGCTTGGATGTGTCCTCAGCAGGCATGCCCGCACCCAATGTCCGGAGGGCAGTGTGGGCACAGAGGGAGAGCACACGCCAGCCCCCGGCAGGGTTTCCACACAAGGGAGGGAGGCCGGCCAGCTGGCGGCCCGGCCTGTCTCGGCCTCTCTCCGCACACCCTGGCGCAGGCGAGCCCTGGGCCCACTCAGCCTTGGACCGCATCACCTGACCCCTCTTTTTGTTGCTCTTACCTCTCTCGAGCTTCAGTTTTGCGCCTTCATCCTTACCAATCAGATTTCACTGTCTCCATCCTGCTCAGGACCTCAGACTTTTTCAATTCGGCTATTCCTCCCCTCTTCAGTCATTCTCCAGTTCTTCTGGAAAATGAAAAATCCCTCTCCTTTACCGGGACTCTGAGTTCTCCTCAGTTCATGGATTAACATAGGAGATGCTTGGCAAAGCACCCAAACTGGAACAGGAATTTTCTCTCCACCTCTATGCACATTTAGGCCAGTGTGTCTGGGACTTAATTATACCCCGAGTCAGTAATTGCACCATGGGCTGAGGTACAGACTGTCTTACGAAGAATTCCTTCACCCCATGGACTGGATTGTATAGACAGTCCACAGGTGGAACATTCGCAGAACGATGCTTCGTCAGTTCACCAGCTAACTGGGATCAGGAGGACGATGGCCAGCCTGAAGCCTCGGGAGCTCCAGTACATGAAAGAAAAGTGGGTACCTGTGGACACACTCCAGTCCACCCAGCACAGTGGCACTGGCCACATGTCACATTCCTCCTCAGGTGAGCCTTCATGGATGCCACGTGGCCTGTCAAAGGCAGTTCTCCAGTTTTAGATACACTATGTGAGCAAAGAGGTCATAGCACCTTCTCACAGTTCCTAGTCAGTTGTAAGATCTTGGACAAACCAATCCAAGGAAAGAAGCAGATTTCAAAATTTATTCATTCAACAAGCTTTTATAAGTTTTATTAATAGGGTTGTAGATTTGTAGATTAGTATGTGTTGGATGGATGAATGCTGCTATGGGCAGGACCCATTCAGTTCTAGGAATATACATGTGAGTAAGACCTGGTGCCTGCTCTGTGAAGTTACTGCCTTGAAAACAACTGACAAATAAATGACTGTGATAATACAGGCTGGTGGAGATCATCGCTGCACCAACGGCTACCGCAGCCTTATTACAGCTCGTCTGCCTTGGGCCTTTTATCTGCCCTTCCCTGGATTTCCTCCTGCCTCTCTGGCCGGTCCTTTCAGGCCTCATACACTGTCACCCACTTCTGTCATTGTCAGTGTCCTCAGGCTCGTGTCCCGTCCACTTCTCTTCACATGCCTAACTCTGGGCGTCTCCTCTGTGCCATTGGCTTCGACCACCTCCTCTGCTCTGGAGACACCCAATCTGTATCTCAGGTTGGTTCTCACTTCCACTCCACTCTGAAAAAATCGCCTGACATTTACATAATTCTACGCAAAGTCCCAGTGACACCTCAATTTCAAACCTTCAGAAATAAAATGACAGGATGAAACAGGGTGACAAGGGTCAGAAAGACTTACCTTAAACAAATCCTAAAAAACAGGAGCCACAAGGGAAAACTGATAAATTTTCTTCCATCAAAATGAATATCGCATCATAACAAACAAAAAAGAAACAAAAAACTAAAGAAGTCATCGGTGACAAAAAGATAAAGGATTGACTATAAAATTTTTTTGAACTCCTACAAATCTATAAGAAAAATATAGTCCAACAGACTAATAGAGAAAAGATAAAAACAAGTGATTCATAGAAGATACACATGGTCAGAGAACACAAAGCAATGATCTATCAGTTTTACTCAGTAAAAATCAAGTGTTGAGAATGTGGTATAAAGAATGCTCTTGTACCCTGCGGTCAGAATAGCCCCATGGAAGGCAGTTTGGCAGTAGCTATCAAAATAAAAGTATACACGCTAGGGCCCAGTAATTCCACATCTCAGTAACTACTCCGAGAGGGAAAAAAAATGTACTAATTTACAAAGATGTATACGTTTATTCATGGCAATATCATTTGTTAGAACAAGAAATCTGGAACAAAATTAAAAATCCACCAGTGGGCACACTGGAATGCTATGCAGCGGTCAAAAAGAGTGAAATAACTTCATATGCACTGACTTAGTAGAACATCTAAAATATCAGTTGTATGAGGAAAAATTCAAGTGATAGAGTATTAAATATTAAATTATATATCTAAAAGAGATACTATCCATTTTCCCAGGTAAGTATGAAAATGCACAGACCTTGCTTGAAAGTTCAGACACCAAACTAGTGCTGACCACTGAGAGAAGGACTGGGATTGGGTCTGGTGGCCAATGGTGGCATCAGCCTCACCTCTCTGTTGTTTTTGTATCACAAAGGCAATGTACCGTAATGTCTTGTGTGATTTAAAAATTAATATTTAAAAAATATTTTATCAGCTTCTTCAAAATTTCTCTACCTACGGTCTTGACTTCAGGAAGGATACCACCATCCATGCTGTTCTCCTCAACTTTCAACTGAAATAAGTCCCTGAATTCTGTCAACTCATCTTTCTAAATTCATCTCTTCCTCTCCCACCACTGTCATGGTTCTGACCACTGCCATCTTTCGGAACTGTACTAGGAATTTTTTATCTAGTGACCCTACTTTATCCTTGCAGCTTCGATCCTACATGTTGTTGCTGCCAGAATAATTTATTCTCAAGGAAAATCTGAGCATGTCACTACCATACTTAATCTTAAAGGTTTCCCGTCACTTTTAGGGCCAAATATAAACAATTTGGCTTGGCAAACTCCCTTTTTAATTTATTTCTTTGCACCTATTTGTCCCCTTGAATTCCTCACTTCTCAAGTTCTAATTATTTTTCTGAAGCACCTCCACCTTACCCAAGTCTCTGCCTGTGTTCTTGATAGTTTCTTTAGCTGGAATGCCTACAGGACTCAGCTCAGTTATTACTCCTCTAGGAACTCTTCTCAACTGCTCCAGGAAGTCCTAGGTGTTCCTTGTCT